AGTGAAATAACACTACGTTTGGTATAAACCAGAAAATGATAGAAGTTCTCAGCAGATCAGGCAGTATCTTGTTTGCTGTCTGTGGTATCCACAATATTGAATTTTTGCCACATATTGGTGCAATTGTTTTCACAATATTTGACTTGGGGTCCTGGGAATAAAGAAGATAGGGGGTGAAGTGTGGTTGCTTGGCATTGACCCCAAAGAAAGCTGCCCACAAAGATCCAGTGATCTCTGTAGTGTAGATATCCCCTTCCCCAGTGTGTGTATCGAGCACCAAGTCAAAGGGTTCTCCAGGCTTCCAGTAATAGTGAACTCATCAAATTAGGCAAACAACTAATCATAGGTATCAAAACAGGAAGTAAAACAAACTGATTATCCTTTGTTTCATCTTCTGCAAAATGCTATAGAATGTAAAGTTTGGCTCATTTCTGTAAGATGCTGTGGTTCTGACTTAAACCATTAAAATCCCAATGGCCCTTCATTAACGACCTTTTGAGGGTTGGACTGTTTGGATTAACAGGGATGTTACAAGAGAATTGGAAAGTTTGATATTGTCTCCAGTTCATATGGATTTTTTGGGTATCTCTAAAACATTATGATTAGTGATCAGTTCTTTGCTTTAGATATGGCAGTAGATCTACCATATGTTCAGATATCAAATTGAGCAATACAGAAAAAGTTAATCTATCAATGTAAACAAAGAAAAGGCTGGCTATGTTCCAAAGGATGGGCAGCATCTGCAAATAAAAACCACAGTTAAAAGTCCAATGTTTACAACAAAATGTTATTGTTGACCGATTTGGACCACAGGAGAGTTTGGTTTTTCAGGTATTTGGAAACTAATTTTGCTTGTAGTTTATGTGTTTGATTTCAGATAATCTAGTCAATACTCAAATGTGCATAGCCATATTCTAAGTCTTATTTTTTGTCCCTCCCTTTTAATTACATTCTGTTGGCAAACGAGGAAGCTTTGCCAATACTTTGGGTTCTCTAACTTTCAGATCCAAGCTCCAACCCTAGACTGGTGGTTAATCATAGTCAAGGCATAAGGTGTGAGAATCAGTCACAGTATATGAGCGAAATCATCCTATCAGATTGCACATGGACAAGATTCACTTGTTCAGTAATCCCTCTCTCTCGCAGTGTTCAGAATAGTCGTTTGACAGGTTTTTTTGACCTTAACTTGGTGTTGGCATTTTATTATCTAATTTGAGACGTGATGGGTTCAAGTCCTATACCTGACACTTGTGCACATCGTCTTGTGCTGCCTTGTTTGAAATGCTGCCAGTGGAATGATTGGTAAAGTCCTGACCTAGTCTGTCCCCTTCAGATGGATTTGAAGAGGACGAGCTGTTCCTGCCAATATGTATACCCCATCCAAGATCATAAATGACATTTCTGAAGAAGGGTCTAGGCCTGAAACGTCAGCTTTCCTGCTCATCTGTTGCTGCTTGGCCTGCTGTGTTCATCCAGCTCTACACCTTGTTATTTCAGATTCTCCAGCATCTGCAATTCCTACTATCTCATAAATGACCAGTTTGCTTTCATCTCACTGCTGTTTGAGGGAGCTTGCTGTGTACAGATAGGCTGCCGCGTTTCTCTGTATTAAATTTGAGATTACACTTGCAAACTGATTTAATTGTGAAGCTTTCCATGTTACCTGAAAACTTGAAAGGTGCTATGTAAATTCTTTATTCTTTGTTAAATATAAAGTGACTTTTTAATGCATCTCGGAGTTCACATTGTGTTAATTACCATACCGAAATATTATTTTGCGTCTCTACTGACTGCAGTGTGAATATGTAACAAAAGAATCAGGCGGAGGTTGCTATGCGAGTTGGATTTATTGCAGTAATTAGTTTTGGGTGGTGTATTAGTGACCAGATGTAATTGCTGCCTGAATCATCTCACTTTAGTGTTTTTGTAACATGTCGATTAGTAGCTCTGCTGCTGTTTGTTGAGGTGGTTTCCCTTTGGGCAAGAAACTTTACCTACTCTTTGCAATGGTGCTTTGTACCTTCAGTCTCAGTGGCAACCAGTGTCGAACCTTTCGGACCTGTGTTAACCAGTGTACACAGTTTGGAGATCTCTGCAAACTTGTACTTAATGATGCAAACACAGGTTCTCTGATTCATTCATTGCTTGTATTCCTGTTGATTTTGCAATGTCTCTGTTTTTAATGCTAATTCATTTTGTTCCAGAATTACTTGCTTTTTATAATTATATGTTTCTCAGAATGATTTTTGGCAGCAAATCGGGAAATGTAGAAAATTAGATACTATAAATAAAGAAAACTGCATTTTCACCTTGAATCAAACATTGATTAATTACAGCAATTAATGTTTCTTTATTTTAAAGTTCAGTCAGTGTTGTTTTTGTTAGATGATATATTATCTGTTTTATGATCCATTATGTAACTATTGCCCTAATTTAATCAGTGTTTCGCCATCTGAAAGCCCGGGAAAGTTTAGAACGACATTCACTTTCTTATTGGTCAGAAATGAAGTAATTTTTTTCATGACATTCCGGTATGTAAAGTGGAGAAACAACAGTCATTCCTCATAGATAATACATTTCTAAACACTTCTGATCACCAATACGACAGTTTTTTGCTTCCATTTCCTAAGTTAAACGCTAATTGTTGTGTGTGTGTGAAAAGCTCCTATTTCCAGTGAAACTGCGGGCCATGTCCTCTCCAGCAAGACCCTATTTAATATTAATACAACCTAATGCTATTAAAGATTACAGTGTCAGCTGGGCTCTGTCGGTGTGGTTGTAATTACTGCTCTCCTGCATCACTGCAGCATCCAGGAGAATACAACTCCAAGAAGCCCCAAGGAAGCTGAAACTCGAAGCTGCCAAGACCATTGTTCCCCCCGCCCCCGAAAATATCATTAGCGCCAAATGCCCAGGTCTGATGCTGAATCCCAAAACCCGTTGTCATGGCAGCATTCCTTCTGGTGAGGTCTGCTTAATTAAGCCACACTTAATGAATGCAAAACAAACTCTTGCATAGTGCGTGCTTTACTGGGCAATTTCCATTTCTGGGGAAAGGCAGTGTGTAAAAGAGCAGGTACCTTTCTGTCTCCTCCCCATAGACTGTGCTGAGGATTTGAACAGGAGTTTGAACTGCGGCTGAGGTGCAATGTTCTGCTGCTCGTTGTAAATTGCTGGCTCGAATCTCCGCAGTGGTACAAATCTCACCTCTTCGGCAGTACCAGGTCTTTCTTTATTGGCTGCTTTAACAAAGTAAGTGAAGTTTAAAAAAACATTGCTTTATGTTTCACTTACAGCAGGTTTGTGTTAAAGGTTTCAGTGTGCACGTGAACCGTTTACATATGTAGCTATTTTTATTGTACCTAAGCCACGTACATTTCTGATCATTTTCTCCTGATCTGTAAATGCTCGAGTCATTAAAATATTTCGAATGCATATTTAATAGTAATGACCATTAGTAGCTCTGAGGTTGAAAGGATGCAGGATTATCATTGCTGTTAAAGCTTGATTAATTGTTTTTACACTGTGACAGTAATTCTTCACAGTAACAAGAACCCTAACTGGGTTATCAGTAGGTTGTGACTGTCTTTCAACTGTACTCTTAAAATGAACTTCAGACTCATTACAGTAATTTTGAGGATGTGTGTATTTTGCAAGTGATGATGTCTGTAAAAAGTGAAAATAAAATGCCCCAAATTAATCCTAGATCCAGCAGCTTTATCATGAAGAAGGGAAATCTTCATTCTAATTTTATTCGCATTCTCACAGCATTTTAAATGTTTGGCAAAGTGCAAACAGGGTTAAGGTGCTTAATGCATTGTATAATTATTTAAATGGTGAAGAACCCAGTGCCAGCTATTGAAGATTTCCAATGCTGCCTTTTGAGAATTGAACAAGGTTGACTGCTGTGCCTGTCTATTTGATCATTGCCATGTCAGCTATCCATTCCTTTCGGTTTCATTAAAACCCAGGAGTGCAGTGAAGATTATTTTACTAATGAGCAGAATACTGTTGAATGAGGGGAGAAAAGAAGTGAGAATAAAATTTCAAAAATTGTATTGGTTTAGGTAAAATTACTATTAAAGCTACAATGGGACTTTGGACTGGTGTAAATATTTGAGCACAATTACATGAAGCAGAACTCCCTTGATACCGCGTGGAGCAGAACTGATTTGGAGACATTTAGAGCTGGCAGAGCTTTAGTCCAGTCCCTGGGGTCTGTCAAATTAGATCATCCTCACCATGTTGGCAGCAGGGGGATGTTATAATTGGTCTCTGTGCTCTTGGAAGAAGGAAAGAAAATCAAAAAATGATCCCACCTCAGGTTTGCTTGGTGATTTCCCCTTTATATCAATAATGTCAAAATGGTTACACTTTTAACCAGATCTGCTCTGATCCCTGTTTCTACACTGTTTCTACTACTTGTGATAATTGTCCATAGCCTGTACTGGGAGTTACCTGTGTGACCATGTTAGGTTTGGGGAGGTTGGTCCATCATGCTGTTAAGGGCAGAGGTATTTTTTAATCATTCTGTTCACAGGTGCAATAACACACCTCTGGAGCTGATGGGTCTTGAACCTGAGCATCCTGGCTCAGAGGAGAGGACATTACCACTACACCACAAGAGTCCTGTTGTTATGGTCAGAGAGTCTACTGACTTAATGGACTCACCAATATGCAGTCTGGCCATTAGTTGGTGGACATTAACTGGGGAATGGAGAATAGTAAACAGGGTAATCCATACCATGGAAACAGTGAAAGTGGTTTGCAGAGAAAATGGAATTCCCTCCGTAACAGCACTGTGGGTCAATCCACAGCAGGTGGACTGTCGTGGTTCAGGAAGGCAGCTCACCACCACCTTCTCAAGGGCAACTAGGGATGGGCAATAAATGCTGGCCCAGCCAGCAACACCCGCATCCCACAAATGAATAGAAAAAAAATTGAAAGGCAATGGAGAAACATGGTTGCACAAAGCCAATAATTAATTTTCCTCACAATAGGAAACATGATGGAGGAGATCACAACATCTCCAACTCATTAGAACCACCAAGTCCAGAATCACAGCCTTCGTACTCTGCACGGTCGTATCTCAAGGTAGGAGATTCTGAAATCTCTTGTTGCACGTGAGTTGTGAATGTTTTGCAAAACTTCCCAATTTGCATTGTGGAAATAATACATTTGTGTTTGGAAGTTTAATCTGTATCTTTTATTTCTGGCTGCTGTGTCAAGCCCAATGGCTGCAGAGTTTCTGTGTATATCATTCCATTGAGAAATACTCCAGGCCATGGGGAAATTATCGACTGGGGTAACTGCTGTGTCACACTGGCATCCCAGCCTCTGGAGGCATTACAAGGTTTCCAAAGTCTTGCAGCCTCCAAAGGCAGAAATAACACACTCACCTCATTTTACTACAACCAAAGTCAGAGCTGTTACTGGTGGCAATGACATAGAGAATGTCACGTTACAACAACCATTCAACAGTTTTACTTACTGTTCATTACTGCTTATATAAAAGATGAGTGGAGATCCATGTTCCAAATGTCTATGTATAAATCGCCCAAAAACCCAATGTGTTTCACTGCCAAGGTGTAATGGTATCTTAGAAAGCTCACAGTTTGAATGGCATGGGCTGGTCTTTGGGTTTCACATTAAAGGAAGGGTGTTAAGCCACAGAGTGAGGACACCAAATTAATTTGTGAGTGTGCTTCCTCGCTGTTGTAAGGAAATATAAGATAGACATGGAGAAATGTGTTTTTATTAGGGGACAGAGGTTGGAAGGTGATTTCAAGATGCTGTTAAAAATGATGAAAGGAATGAGACATACAAAATAGAATGAGGTTGAGGCAAGTAGCAGAAAACAGACCTGTTTTGCTCCAGAGGTTAGCACAAAGCTATGAATTGCATGACCATAGTTACTGGCCCAAGGAGAGACCATCATGATAAGTAAAAATAGGGTGGTTAAAGGAAAAGGGATTAAATGGATGGTTCTACAGAGTAGTGCATAGAATATGATTCTAGCTTCTGCAAAAGATGGAGGCCCAGGACAGAGACCTGCCAAAGAGCTGCCAAAGCTTTAGTTCTGCTGAGCTTTAATTTTTTAAAAAAAAATCTTTTAAAATAATAAATCAATTACTGCTATTTCACTTTGTTGACATGAGCCTGGAGAAGGGCTTGACTATTCCAGGATTTGTGCTGCATCATTGATTGTGTTACTCCACATTATCATAATGGGGTGCCTTTAAGTGAAGAGATTGATTGAAAGCTTCAAGTTATTGGAAAACACTAATTTTTGTTTTCATAACAGACTAGTTTCAAATTTGTAATTATTTCAATGTATTGTATGTTTCCTTTTATCTGGAGGCTTTTTTGTAAATAGCACTAGCTTTCTTTTCTGTATGGTTCCTGAGGTGGATTCTAGCTCATGCAGGGTAAATGTGACAGATGTTGGGTGAGGCTGGGACATGGGTTGGCATGATGCACTAAGTTAGCATAGGGCCACAGCAATGGGTAGCTGCATGAGGTGGCATTGGGTGTGTGAGTAACATGGGTGGTGGGCACAGGAACAAAATTTGGTATGGAGGGTATAGCATGGGGAACATGGGTTTGGTGCAGAAAATGATTTTGAAAGTAGAGTATGGGAGACCATGAGGGTTGGGTATAGGGACGAAGGAGGCAGAGGGGTATGCAGTGGCATCAGTTACCATGGATAGGGCAAAGGTGTGAGTGAGGACAGGAGGTGGAGTGAGAGGTGAAAACTGGGGAGCTGTTTTTGTTTTTAATTCCTTTTTTTGTTAATCTTCCATACAGATCCAGTGTAGGGAAGTTGGCCTTGTGCCTATTCTGGAGTCACCTTGCCTGGCTCCTGGGACCTGTACCACACTGGAATGAAAGTGTGACCTGGTTTGATTTGTTTTTGTGTCATTTACCTAAGTACAGTGAAAAGTTTTGTTTTGCAAGCAGTACAAGCAAATCATAACATGAAAGGACATACAGATCATTGAGTGTTTAGACAAAGTGAGGCATACAGGGTTACGGCTGCACAGGAGGTGCACAAAAGCAAGATCACCATTAGATTTGAAGTTAGAGAGGTCCATTCAGCAGCTAATAACAGCAGGGAAGAAGTTGTTCTTGAACCTGTTGGTGTGTGTGTTTAAGACCTCCCAGGATTGGGAATTCCATCCAAACACACAACCCAGGAACAAAAATCTGGGCTCATGATCACCGCGGGCTTGATGGGCTAAATGAGTTGTTCTCTCCTTTGTCCTCCTGTCACAAATATATTCAGAAAGTGTTGCTTGGTCCCTAAAATGAGGCCTTTATTAAAGAAGGTGAAGAGCTGTTCAGTTCTCATTTTGATTAAAAGCTTCAACACAATAACAGACTAAAACATAGAACATAGAACAGTACAGGCCCTTCAGCCCACAATGTTGTGCCGACCTATTATTCTACTATGATAATCTACCCTGCATACCCTACATATATTTTCTTTTTCAAAAACTTATTTTCATGAAGCGGCTTCATGCTGATGGGCCTTTAGTCCTGAATATAAGAACAGGAAGCTAATTATTATTGTGCACTGAGCTCCTTAGTTACCTCTAAGAGATAATCTAACTCCAAATAAATCTGACTATTTGCTTTAATTTGAATACTTCATTCCAAGAGTTACTAGCAGTTGGGTGAGAGATGAGAAAATACCCCAAGTGATTCTGCAATATATTAAAATTGAAGACAATTATTATTCCTGTGCATGTAAACCTACAGCAGGATGTAAGTTTTGGTTTGGAAATAAACTTTTTGCTGTTAGAAGTCCCATTCATTGTTGCCTATTTACAAAAGGCTGAACAGTGAAGAGTGAGTAATATCCATTTGGGTTCAAGACTTTAACAAATGAGGAGGAAGCCGCCTTTTAGTTTAGCACTGAAGCATACACAATGCAATGGAGAGGGGGCAGTAGGGCTGCACATGTGATGGAATTGCAACAGTGCTGTTGATGAGAGGCATCAGTTTGAGACTTGTGCCTGCAATGCTCAGTTCTACTGCACCATTCTGTGCTGGCTATGATATAATTGCAACTGAAGCAAACCTTTAGAGAAGCAGCACCTGAATCTTGGAGATAATAGGAACTGCAGATGCTGGAGAATCTGAGATAACAAGGTGTAGAGCTGGATGAACAGAGCAGGCCAAGCAGCATAAGTGGAGCAGGAAAGCTGACGTTTCGGGCCTAGACCCTTCTTCAGAAAACTTTTTTTCTGTGTTCATCCAGCTCTACACCTTGTTACCTGAATCTTGGAACTTTTTTTTTTACGTTGTTTGCAAGAGAGGAGTCACATCTGATTAAAAATGAACTTGTGTTTCGATTCTAGCAACAAAAGCCCTGTCCACGTGTGAAAACAATACACACACAACCAACCAACTTGTCTGCCCAAAGAATTTGTTTTTTCCTTCTCAGAATGTAGTGATCAAACTTCAATTAAACTTGATCAGATCAAAACTGAAGGAGAACCAATTCTAAGCTTTTCTTGAAAGAAAGAGGGTGGAGTTTTATTACATATTACCTTGATTAAAGACAATAAATTGCACCAGCAAGTACACACACACACACGTATTGACAAAGTTTCGAGAGAAGCTTGTGAGAGCTGCGCAGTACAGACAGGAAGGCAAAGGCAAATACAGTTACCAATCCTTGAGTCCCTTGGGTATTGAGAATGAAAAGACCCGATTGCAAATGTTTAGCTGTTGTTCTGTTTCTGTTGCAGAAGCAAAGTTTGCAGCTCTTGAGTTCTTAAATGAATGATTTTTACAAGTTGCTTTTTCGGTGGCACTGGTTTTTATAGTTGAGACTGGGATCAGAGAGAAGAGCTTCCAGTATCCATGCTATTCTCAGTCCATGTTGCTTCCTCCCTATTGTATTTACTCAAAGGCTGCTGTTGAAATCCTATTCCTCTGCGGATTCTGGAGGATGTGTCGTTGTTTCATTCCAAGTTAGATAATTATAGGCAGCCCCTTCATCTCTCAACACATTGAAGACTTTGGTAGCAGTAGTGAACAGACCCACAACAGTAGCCACTCTGTTGATTTATAGCCTTTCCCACAAATAATGGGTGCTTGTAAAAAGAACAGAGGAACAATTATGCATGACTTTTATCCCAATCAACATGAAGATTATCAAATTGCAAAGGGTAGCTACGACAATGAATTAATAGAGGACACTAAGAATAGTTTCCTAGAGCAATATGTCATGGAGCCAGCAAGGGCTGTCTTGAATGTGGTAATGAGGTAGGTTGAATAAATTAACTCAGTTAAAGATCTCCTAGGAAGTAGTGATCATGACATGATAGAATATAATATTCAATTTGAATGGGAGAAATTTGGGTCCAAAATCATTGTGTTTAACTTAAATAAAGGGCATTACAATGAAATGAGGATAGTGTTAGCTACAGTAGGATGGACAGATAAATTAGCAGGAATGGCAGTAAGCAAGCAATAAAAAACATCTAAGGAGGTAATTGATGACTCTCAGCTAAAATATATCCCAGAAAGGAGGAGAGGTTTGAAGAGAGAGATAAGCCAACCATGGCTAATCAAGGCAGTTAAGAAGAGTATGAAGTAGAAAGAAAAAGCATATAAGGAGGCAAAGTTGGTGATAGCCCCGAAGATGGGGATAAAATCAGAATCCAGAAAAGGAGGAATAAAAATGTAATAAAGACAGAGGAAATAAACTAAGGGCAAACTAGCATGGAATATAAAGCTGACAAAAAGAGCAGCTTTCAATATATAAAGCGAAAGACAGCAGTCACATGAAATTAACTCCTTACAAAATGAATCTGGGGAAATGGTTATGGGGAACAAGGAAATGGCAGAGAAGTTAAACAGATATTTTGCATCAGTCTTTACGGTGGAAGATACTTTGAGCATCCCATTAGTACTGAACAATGCGAGGAAAGAAATTAAGTTTCTTTCTTTGCAATGGCTAGAGAAATAGTATTAGACAAACAAATGGGGCTAAAGGCAGATAAGTGCACAGATAGTGGATGGATTGGTTGTCATTTTCCTAAAATCCTTAGATTCTGGAGAAGTACCAGAGGATTGGAAAA